TTAGGGCCACCTTTGCAAACCTCATCTATAGGTTCATCACGTCTTTTGTGATTTATCGCATACTTGAAAAGCGCAAACAAAATGAATTACATAATCATAGCATTGGGAGTGTGACCAGAGATTTCACTAATTATCTCCACTTTTCACGACCAGTACCTCAACCTCAACCACAACCACCAGCTCATACTCACTACACCAGCACAACTACCAGCACTACAGTAGAAAGAGCAACAGTTCCTTAAGCAAGCTCATTTTGAAAATCATTGATATCATTACTGTGATTATGATTTAAAAGTAATTCACATAACTATTAAATAATTTAATCCAATGTAATTGAAACTAAATTTATTTAAAATATATGATTTGGTAATAAAAATGTAAACAAAATTGAAATATATTGAACACTATTTTTTCTCGAAACCAATCGATTCAATAATCATAACCTCCTCTTCTTCTTCGTCATCCCCTTTCATATCATACGGTTTGCCTTCGAGAGTAAGAATCTCATCGTTGCACTCATCGGAGTCAATGGTTGTGAACTGATCGTTGAACTGCCACTGCGTTTGTCCGCCCTCTCCAATACCGGCAATACCTCTGCCGTAAAGGTTACAACTAAATAATGATTTCATGATAATAGATGTCCAAAGAGAAGACATTGAAGAACACGTTCGGTTGGGCGCGCATTGAAGTGTTGGGAATGTTGGTGAACATGACATTCCTAGTGGCCCTCACTTTCTCACTACTCGTAGAAGGCATTCAACAATTAGTTCATTCATCTCATGAGATCTCCCAACCGACTAATTTTTATTTATTATTTGCTTTCGGAGCCTTTGGTTTCATATTTAATCTCATATACTTCAATATAGTTAGCGGTACACAAGTGTGTGTCCTAATCTTGAATCTAATTTTTAATACAAACTTTTATTTATAAAAAGATGCAATTTTGGATCAAAATAAACAAAGAGCTAATAGTTTAAGCCTTAGGCCACAAGAAAAGATTGTCTTTAACGATATATTGGGATTGAATATCGACTCGCCGTCGAGTAGTGCCGACAAGGATTCAAAAGAAGTTTCACAAAAACTCATTTCCGTTCAATCGGATAAAGGTTTTGTTGAATTAATTTAAATTAAATAAAGACTATTATTAATGAAAAGTTATCATAAACTATAGACAACGTAAATTCAACAGCAAGTGAGCACAAGAATCATGACAATGTATTCTACGGAATATTCCGTGATCTAACCGGGTCTATACTATTGATAATATGCGGGGTATGTGTGCTAAACACAGAGGGAACTGTAGCTCACCTTTTCGATCCAATATTTGGAATCATTTCCGCCACACTCTTCTGTATCACTTTATACCCCGAAAGTAATGACTCTATAAAATAACTAAATTATATTGATTTTAATAAAACTAAATTACTTTAATCATGAATATAGTTAAGAACACTGGACTCATATTATTGCAAACGGTTCCCGAAAACATAAACGTCGGTCGACTTAAGAGAGATATTCTCAGAGAAGTAAATTTGTGACATTAAATTTTATAAGTTTAATAATTTTAATGTCTATTAAATAGTTTCCAATTATACTCAACATCCATGACCTGCACGTATGGGGCCTAACGGCGTCCCGAATCATAGCCACGTGTCATATAATACTCCCGAAACAGACGTCCAAATCATTTGAACAGTTCTCACAGCTTTTGGACAATTATTTCCGAAAACAGGGCATTGTTTTGGCAACAGTTCAGCCAGAGTTCTATGAGCCCAACACTACCCCCAGTCCACTGCAAACCACCTCATTATCATGTCTTATGAAATGCTCAAAGTTTTCAAACACTAATTGTGATTCATTTACGTGTTGTACGCCTGAGAATAATGAATGCATTAATTGTAGCGATTGTGTTGAATTGAGTTCAACTGATTCCGATCAGTTTGAACAAATCATTGTAACAGACAATTTGTAACTCATTTTATGACATTTTACTGAATATCATATGTTTTACATGTTCATGCAATTTCTTATTTAAATTTAGCTTATTCTAGACAATTTTTTTGTAAAATTTATAACCAATTTAATATTAATAAAGAATACAATTATGATAAAGTCTATAATAAAGTTTATTAAATGAACAGGTAATCCGTTACCTGACCACTTGTTAATAGCTTCTCGATCTTAATGTTAAAAACTTTTGTCACAAGGTATTACTGTTTTGTAATAATTAAAATCATGTTGTATTTAATCAAAATTATCAAAAGTTATCAAAATGATCAATGTAAGATTCTCATTATAAGGTTATTGAACAAGTTTAGTTACAAAACACATAATTTGCACGTATTTTGTGTGCAAAATCGCACCAATTTGTACGGTAAACACAAAAACGTGTTTTTATATGACATTTGAAATCAATAAATGTGTTGTTAATTGTGTTTAAACTGATTGTGACTTAAATTCAATAAAAATAACATTTAATATAAGAGGAAATGAAAGAAATCCCAAAAACCAACAAAACGTTTATAAGAAATGCAATCATTTCTCATAAGAAAGTAATGTATTTTGCATTCAATTGATAACTCAATTGAAAAGTGAATTAACTTTTTGTCGCCAAATATATAGCGAATAGACTTCCGGTCGGAGAGAAACCAAAGACACGTCAGTCTTGTCTTCGGCCACCACTTCGGCACCGCTTTCGTACGATTGGGACAAACCATGTATTGATGGCAACCATCACCTCTTGTGTCCGATGTATCACTCATTTGTATCATTATTACTATTGCAGAGCGTTTGCCACGACTTCTGCAGAGATCACTGAACCCAAGATCTCGCGACCCAACGAAGGAATCCTTGATCTGAGTCTTGACTTGTGTTCGGCCGCCGAGAAGTGGTTGGATTCATACCAACGATTACTACCGCAAGAGGGGATCCATTGCCTCCGCTTTCTGGAGCGGACTATAAAGGATTCGCGCGCTTTGGACACCGAATCTCTTTGTCTCGTTTCGGGTGAAAAGGTTTGGCGAATCAGATGTCATATAATTTGTCTCAATTTCGACGGAAACCTCTTAGAGGCGGCCAGTATTGCGACCATCGCTTCCTTATCTCACTTCAAGTATGCGATTCATTGAGTTTTAAAGTCTTTAAGTTTTATTATCAATACATTTGTGACACTTCTTCAGACGACCGGACGTCACGGTTAGCGCCGATCGGAGTCTTAAAATCCATTCATTTGACGAAAGAAATCCATTGCCTCTGACTTTACTTCACTTCCCATTCTGTGTTTCGTTTGCCTTCTTCGTCGACAATAACCGCTATATTTTGATATGCGATCCAAACGAATGCGAAGAAGAGGCTGCAGACGCCTCTCTCGTCGTGTCCGCAAACATCTACAGAGAGATCGTTGGACTCCACTGTTTGGGCAAACCTGTGGTCGACTCCGAGAAAGTGATGATTTGTTCTCAAATAGCCATCGAAAGAGTGAAACATTTGACAGAATTCGTGAAGAGTTCGCTTCAAACCGATAGAGAGAATCGGTCTAAAAGTGCCGCAACTGTCGGCTTTGCGAACGCCATTCGCGCCGGTATTATGTCAGGCGATGAGAGACCGGATTTGAATCTATTGGATGTGATTAAAGTGAATCGAGTGGAAGAGGACGAGCCAATGGAGCCGCAAGTCGTGGAAACGCCGACCGATAACGTCTACCTTTACGGCAGAGGTATTGCCGGTATTGGAGAGGGCGGACAAACGCAGTGGCAGTTCAACGATCAGTTCACAACCATTGACTCCGATGAGTGCAACGATGAGATTCTTACTCTCGAAGGCAAACC